ATTAAACTACAGTATTAACATTTTACAACAAAAAACATTCTTTTACCCTTCCTGTTTCAGCAAACCCATGTACTCGTTAAACTAATTGTATTTAAATAGGGAATAAATTTGATATATTTAAGGAGACGTTTTTGTGTAAATACAATCAGGCAAATGGAAATTCGCTTAATCTGCAGGTTTGCTGCGGTGGGGTTATTATATTATTTTGAAGGTATACAAAGTTATTATTCTGTAATCTGTTATCAAACCGTACAAATGATCGCTCCCCTTTGGCTTACTGCGTGGGTTGAAGAATAAGTTTCAGGGAAAATTTTTGACAGGGGACTTTTTTCAGTCGATGAAAAATAATGACAGTAGAATCAAAGAGCGGGAATAAATAAAAAAAAACATCATGGAGTGCCTAGAGGGCAAATGTAGAAAAGGGACCTTAATATGAGAAGGTACAGTATTAAAGAATAACATGCTTTTATACTTTTATACTTTCTTATGAAATGACGACCATACAATGTAGGTATTTTAAGCCAAGTATGAATGGAGATGAGTGTAGGATGAGTGGCGCGATCTTGTAGTCTTGTTAGTGACTAAGGCCGACATTCCTTAGGCACAGCTGTTAATTAATAGCCCAAACAGCTAATGGCAACTAAGGGACCTACAGTTTATAGTGGAATCCGAACCACATTTTTTCCTTGGTATATACGAATTGGTCTAATTATCAGGATAGTACTGCGGATAGTCTTAGTACTCACTAGTGCGGACGTTAATCCACATGTTCTTGAATCCAGTATGAATAAATTGGAATGGTAACAACAAATATTAAAATTGTTATAGTGTTATAGTGTTCGAGGGAGTAAATTTAATACTAGCTGCAGACAAGAGTTCGCGCGAGTTGTTCATACTTAATGCCTCTTAAGTTGTTCTGACGAATCATCTACATACTGTAGTTTAAGAGATGTTCTCTTGTGATTCATCCAGTGTTAAAGCTGGTATTAGGAGATGTCTCAAGCACACCATAAGCTCATGATCCAAATTGCTTCGTTGACGTAATGGACTTACTAAACCTGTATTGTCACACCCTTCATTTTTTTACACTTTTCAATATAAATGTCGAACTTTAAATAAATGTGTTCTCCTATGAGCTGTTGGTCGACTGTCAGTGGGAAGTCTAGTCTAGATAAAGGAAGTTGACGCTTTATCGTAAGAGATTTTTATAATCTCACATGATGTCACTATCTTTTGTTGCTCCATATTTCTAATCTCTGCTCCGTTTTTCCTCCCCCTGCAGCACCTTCACCCCCAGATGTTGTAGGGGGGGAGGAAGGTCGTGTCAATCTACTGGAGCAGGTATCCGAGGGAAGGAGCTGGTGGAGGTGGACGTCCGAGTACCTGCTCCAAAATCCAACATACGGTCAACCCCACACCCACACCTGCCAACCCCACCAGAACACGAATATATTATTATCACTGATCAAAAATATTCAACAAAGAATAAATTATTAGGGGTACCACTTGTAAGATATCTCTTCTTCGTTCTTTGTTGTATTTTTAGTTTGGTCTATAAGCAACTACTATTTATCTAAGTGAAGTGAGTGGATTTTAACATGTTGAACTAAAGATTTGACAGTTATGGACAATATTCTCTTGTAATTCACACAGTTCATGCAATTATCTATGGTTTGTAATTTTCCAAGCTAAGTGGTTTTGAAATGCGAGAGTAAAATAATCCACCTCCAAAACTGAAACGTTGCTTTTTATATATTTTTTTATGTTTATATTTTGGATCCGTTATAATCTGCCCTGATCCAAAGCTAGAATTTGCCATGCGATATACAATACCATTTTAATCTACAAGGAGTAGGTTTCACAAAAATCTAATTTCATGTAACGAATATTTAGTTTATAAAAAGTAAATTTAATTAGAAAAAATCCAACGGGATTTTGACTGGAAAAAAATTAAACTAATACCAATTTTTTTAGTTTTATGTTATTATGCCCAGTTAACGTAAACGTAATGCTGTGGTATTTTAAAATCCCCGTTCTTTGCTCTATACATGATTCGTGTCATGACGCTGTCACTTTATACAATGTTGCCTAAATCTGCACCACTTAGTGGTCGTGGGAGGAAGCCAGTTGGACTCGTGTGTCCGCAAGTCTGTAAGCCAATCACCGCTATTAGTTTATTCCGTTAGCTGACTTTCTACCGACAACGTTTAATCGGTGATGCTTGAGCAATTCCTCCAAACAGCAATAAATATGATACATTTAAGCGATTTTAGTAAGAGTGCGTCTAAATTAATATTTGATGAGTTGGGGTGTCTTACTAGGTGCATTTAGCGTCATGGACTTCAGTGCGGGAGGGACGGGTTAGATTCCCAGGATATACCATGAAAATATAAATAGTTTGATCAGCTTTAATTGTAAATCTCGTGAAATTCTTCTGTACACAGTCAACTGGCGTTGAAAAAAGGAAAAAGTAAACGGTATCAGCAATCTGACACACACCTTCTCCCATAGGCTTGTCAACAACCTTTATCATAGTAAGTGGTGGGTGTACAATGATATTTTATAGGGAAAAATCACAAAAGTTGCAATAACTTTTGAACCGTAATTGTTACAGAAATAGGGGTTGCATTATTTTGTTTAGAATTATAAGGATCATTACACATTAATTTTAATCAAACCCGGCTTTTTTCCTAAAATTAGATTTTATTATTTTATGGGGGTTTTATGGGAAAATAAATAGTTTTCGCTACTAAACTAAACTTCTTACACGCTTGCTACGTTAAAATGCCATAACTATTAGGATGATTAACTAACAAGAATGTTAAGGATTAGCAATAAGGAAGTAAAAGCAAAAACGGGCAGATACTGTCTTTATAGTCATAAAGCTCGAGCCACATATCATCAGGTGTCTCATAATATTAGCTTTGTTGAGATCAAATTTAATACAACATTTTAAAACATATAATACATCTAAACAGATTTTTAAGTAGCAAATACTTTTTAATACATCCGCCAATTAAATTGTCGAGGCTAAATTTATACGGGGGTACGTTAGTTCCGCATTTGCTACCTACACTAATCCGGGTCCCGTAGGGTGGGTTATAATCCGGTAGGTTAGTTCCGCAGTTGACGGCTTAAACAATAGATCTCATGAAATTCTAAAGAGCAGTGAAGCGTACAAAAAAGCCAGTCAACTTCGGTATACCGCTATTGTAACTTATTTTTATGGATTATTTTGATAATCCATAAAAATAAGCAAGTTCTGATTGAGTTAAAGTTGAAGTAGCATGTTTCAGTTGTAGCGATGTCTCTATAGTTTTGTACCAAAGCTGATGCAGATATTTTGTTCACCGATCCCAGCCATTCAAATCATTATCAACTCGGTATGTACCAAAGTACCATTTAACTGTGTATTGCCAGCAACCTGTCCTGTGAAGCCGCAATCTTAAAACTAACAATCACACTACACCAGCTACGTATATGTTACAAAATGCTAATAACTCAAACAAAAATGCTGGTAAACTAGAAAGATTCTCGCAGTAACATTATACTCTAGCTATGTATAATATAATGTAGTATGTATGTATAGTATAATGTATAGTATAATAACAACACTGCGTTTTTCGACACAAATTCATCCTTTGGATGAAAATGAAATGGCATACGTAGAATTGACTTATTTATACTATGTGTAATGATATAACCATTGATAGGTTTATGTAATCGATAAGGGAATGAAAGTTTATTTAAATATACATAGTAAAATAATAGATGTTTTAATTTATTTTTTTGAGCAGTCTTTAAAATATTTAGTTTGTTTAGTGAAATATAATTAGTTATAACTAACAGCTGGTTGAATAAAAAATATTCTATAGATTTACTCTGAGATTTTGTCATTGATTATAGGAAATCAGTAAGATCATTCTTTAACCATTGCTGTATACGAATCGAAGCTCACGAATCTAAAAAAAAAAAAAAACTTATGAGAATTATTTTACTATTCAACTTTTTGAGGAAAGGTTGGGGAAATAACAATGATCACATGTTTTAACTCATCTTGGAAGCTTTTTCTTTACTATAAATTTTGAACTGCTTAAACTATGCCTGAATTAGTAATAGATACACTATATACAGTTTAATGGACTGCTCGATTCCCGTACGTAGGCCGCGCCAACAACTCGTTATTACTAAAAAGTCAAATCAGTATTATTACTAAGGTAATTTGTTTTTAACATTTATGAAACAGGTGAATTTCCTTACATCCCTAACCTAAAATTTGTAGAGTTTGTATCATTAATATTCCGAATTACTTATCGGATACAAGCGTATCCAATCTTTGGATATTTAACATCAATATGTTTAATATTCATTCTACGTCGGCTTTTCGTGAGGCTAATTACGTTTATCTAATGAAGTGTAACCCACCTTTGTCAATATAAATGCGGAACAAACCTACCTACTTAAGGGGTCCACCAGATTCAAATGCGGAACTAACCTACTCATTTATGGCCCTAGGGTCATTATCTGCGGAACTAACCTACCACCATTTATACTTATTTTTTTACTCCATTTTCGTCCTTGTTATAAGCAACTTAACTTATAAGATCATTACTATAAAATCTAATCCAAAAGCGTAACACTACTGTTTTACGAATATATATTTTCCAATCGAACAGTTACCAGAAATTTTATGACGTAAAATATTTCGATTAAGTAAATATTTCTTCTGTTGATTTGTTAACAATTAATTTAGCTTTTAAGGGCAAACGTATATCTATAGTATATTTTTTACTCAAAGTGAGACGATACTGTAAGCGCAGTTAGTGATCAGAGGGGTTATGTCGGTAATTGTTATCTTTCTTTGCAATAACCGCTGTCTTCTCCAGTGTTCCCCCAGACACAATCGGACGATTCCAAGGAGCGGGGAGAGGCGGACTCTCACGAGAGATTCCGAGGGTATATTTAGCCACGTGAAACAAAGTTTATCGGGAGCAGGCAGTCGTGCGCCTATGTTTAGATTGTTGCAGTGTTCGAACGAGCTCATTCAGAATCGTTTAGTGGTTCGCGTCTCGCTCGTATTTTCGGTGTCCACATGTGAAAATATCGAGATATTTATTTCCGAGACGTAAAATATCGTTCGTAAAACTTGACTGTCCTACGCAGTATCGTACGTGCGGCAATTCCCAAACTGCCATTTGCCGAGTGTAATAGTGCAAAGTTTTAAAGTGGCTACGTTATGAGGGCCGGCATCGATTTTCCTCTAACCGGATTACACAATGATAAGAAGTAGTCTGAGACTCAGTCGGCGCGTAGCTACTCTGCCGTGAGCACCGCGGGGCTTCATGACTAAGTGCAGGTCAGTGTGGTAGGCCTACCTATGAGGCGATGTGAGGCGAGTGCGCGGGTCTCCTCTCTGACCAGAGATGCTGGACGTGTTCCGGGGGTTGAAGAACCTGATCAAAGTCAGCCACATACACATCGACTCGCCCATATTCCGGTTGCACTACAGCATCACGGTGATGATACTGATCGCCTTCAGTCTCATTGTGACCACCAGACAGTACGTGGGCAACCCTATAGACTGTGTGCACACCAAGGACATACCCGAGGATGTGCTCAACACATATTGTTGGATACACTCCACCTACACCATCAAGACCGCGTTCCGCAAGAAGGTGGGGGTGGTGGTGCCGTACCCGGGGGTGGACAACACCAGGGGCAAGCCGGAGGACAAGAAGTGCTACGGGTACTACCAGTGGGTCTGCTTCTGCTTGTTCTTCCAGGTTGGTGCATTTTGTGGACTTGTTTTCTCGTTTAGCATTGATTTTTAGATACCAGTGTAAACGTTTTTTTGAAACGCTGTTAAAAATTCTTCAGTCAAATAGAAAACTCTATGTCCTTTTGTCTTTTAGTTTTCGATGTTGGATTGGTTGAAAAGTTTATGTACACGACATAAATCGGTAATTTCCAACATAACTCTCAGTAGGTCACAAAATTCAACCAAGACAATGTTAATTCAAGCAAATACATTGTTAGAATGGGAAATGACTAGTCCTCTCAAAAGTACCTGTACAAGCCTTTGATTATAGACTATTGTTAACAACAGTTGCACGAAGTTAAATACTAAGACGTAGGTACAACTTTCATTTTTCTTATATTTAAGTTAATTACATCGCATAGGTTTTTATTGAGATCAAAAGTATATGTGGTCTGGGGTGTTTGAAATGATTTGATGAACTTGTATGAAATGTTTCAAATATTGTAGTGAACAGTGCGTGATAAGTGCTTTATTTAATTTTAAAATTTAGAAATATTTCTAGCGAAATTTTAAAATTCAGTATTTACTAGGAGTATGTACCCAGCCAATTCCAAATCCATCTATTCCTAATTAATAATTCTTACAGTGATAATAGTAAGAACGCGTTGTACAATTCCCGCGTCAGAACATGAGTACGATCGTGAAAAATATTTTGTCTTAGCTAATTGTAAATCTCTCAGGGGCTCATTTATGCACGCTTTTAAAGAGTTTAGCTCATGCATATGTAAAAACTTATAAATGTATATTATTAACACGAGAATTTCAAAACTAGACATTACTAAACAGTTAATATTAAAATCAAGCATGAAATTCCTTCCCGAAAAATACTTTGTTGAATTTTTATCACTCAATTAAGTAAGGTATACACAAATTTGCTTTTAAAATTCACTCATTTACAGCCAGGTGGAAAATATTTTAAGGCCCTAACCTACATAAAACAAAGACATTTTTAGATTTTCTAAACCTAAACCGGGAACAAAACGCCACACAATCAATATTCCTCTATTTTAATTCTTTCCTTCATATGTCAAGACTGTTTTGAGATTCCAATGTCTTTGACTTATATACGTATTTATAGAAACATATTTAAAACAGCGTGTCCAGTTGTCCCATATCCGTTAAGGTTTACTGCCCATTGTCATGGGATCTTCTTAATTTGAATACCTTAAATTGTAATCATGTGTTTAAGGTCTTACGTCAAATAATCTTAATAAATAAATATTTCTTTGGCTGTCCCAGCTATTGTTGTGGGGTTGTTAAACAAACAAAATTCTAATTTGCTCGGTAAAGTACACTATAATAGTTCAATATCACAAACATAACTCAGTAGGCTTCAATTTGCAAATGCTATATACTAAGTCTAGAGTGAACGAAATGTAAAATAAAATCTGAGTTTTCATGTCTTATAATTAGTTTTTGCTATTGAATTTATTGGATTGTATTCTCATAACATTAGTCGTACGTCTTTTACAGACTTTTGAAAGTCGTGACTAAAATGATGAAACAGCTTATTATTATACCAACCGTCACTTAGCCGTAATCCACCTTCAAAAACTGCCTTAGAGGCTCTATGTACTTTAAAAGAAAATCTTACGCAAAATCGTGGTAGTCAAAACACATTATTACTTTAAAAATAAATGTTTTTCTACGCTAGAGGGGTGGTTAATATTCTTTAGTTTGATTGAAAATGCGGGTTTGCAAAATTACTGTACTTGAGTCATTCATGGATTATGGATAGGGTTTAAAAAATAAGACTAATTATTAACTTAGAAGGTTCGGAGTCAACGATTCCTTACAACTAAGCTATGTTGTATATATGTAACTAGCTGTAACCGCGGGCTAAAAAAAAAAACTAATAGTGCTCCACCCTGTTGGTAATCCTTGTAACTTGTATGCTATTGAACATCATAGAACAGAACCAACTTGTTTAATTGAAACAGCTGTTCATTAATTCCTTTCAAATATGAAAATTTATAAGATTAACATGGGGAACTACAGAGCCACTGGGGCGGAGCCCGAAAGGGTTTTTGAGATAAGAATATGCTTTAATGTTATTCGGGAATGTGAGCTATCATCATGCCAAATTTCAGCCCAATCCGTCCAGTAGTTTATGCGTGATTGAGCAACACACACACACACAAACTCACAAACTTTCAGATTTATAATATTAGTAAGATTAATTATAGTGCGGCATTCTGACCTGAAAATCAGGGTTCAAACCCCATTGATCGCGAATGACCCGAAGTGAATCTACTTTAAACCGTCGGCGACTTAAAACCCTCTCTATAATTGAGAACTGTTCCACTATAAGCTATATATAATTTAAATTTGTATATTTTAAATAGTTTAATCAAACTCTTATGAGGTTGGTTAATAAACTAACCAATTTGCAAGTTAATTTTCAATGTTTACGTGATCACAGTGGTATCCAAAGGCTTATGAAACATAAATAGATGATTCAAACAGCATTTCTTCTCCGAGTTAACAGGAATGTACATTCATAGGCTAATTGGGTTTGGAGCAAAAGTCGCCAGGTGTTCAACAATTAACCTACAAGATCAAAGGTTGAACAGCTGTTCGTATCTGTCACACTAGCTGCCCCTCCTCACCACTTGGGTGCAGCACTGTGCTAATTGATGTTAAGAAAATGTTATTCGTGTCTATGAAACAAAATTGTTCAGCTTAACCTGTAGATGATGTTAGTTTTTTTTCCAGTTTTGCTTACTACATCTTCCATTACACACCACTATTAAGATGTACTAGGGATTACTGAGGTATATTAGTATTTTTTATGAGTATTTGGAAATAACTTCTTGATCATCGTACGTGTTATTAAATTACCTGAAAGCACAAAAATACGTCAAATAACACTTATAATAATATTTTTACACTTGTACTGTTTATTCACAAGACGGTAAATACATATAAAAGAGTATTTTGTGGTGATAATATTGGGAAATCTTCAAAATACGACCTAAGAAGTAAAAAAAATTTAGTGTACAGACAATCGTGTTTCTTAATCCTTTCAGTATTTAAACGTTTTACGTTTTCGTACAAATATCCTTTATGTTCCACAGCAGATGTATCCTACTAATATGATTTGTATACCATTTAAAAGGAATCCTCTTTTTGTAAAAGAAGAAAGTCAATGTTAAAGAAGACCTTCTACGACGCGGCAAAATTAGTGCTATACGATTAAAGATAGCGGACATGGGTCTAGAAGTTTACAGTTTTTACCGTCACTTTTGTATTTATGCAAAAACAATCAATATCAATAAAACAAAATAATCAGACGCAAAAATATTTAACCAAACTCAGTTAGGAACAAGTATGTGTCCCAACATTTTCATTCCTCCCAAAGCTGGTGAATATTCCCAGAATCAGAAGGTTCTCAGATCGTTTCCTTGTCTCCCGGCCACAATCGCTGTGGCTATTTCTGCCACCCCATGAATACTGGATGCTTCTGTAGCTGGTGTTATGGTGCGAGCGTGCCAATGGGGGGTGACGTCATCTGTGACGTCAGAACCGATCAGCTGATACAATGTTAATGTGGTGTATCGTATACAGCTGTAAACCAAATGCGAGGCGTGGCCTGACGACAAATGGTGAGTGCAATGCGCTACTGTCTGATACTTTAATCCATACTGTGCTTTATTTCCTGAAAGCAAAAAAAAATACGTTGAATAATACTTATAATAATATATTTACACTTATACTGTTTACTTACAAGACCGGGGGAGCGAGCTGGTCTAGTGGTTAGAGCGTGGGACTCCGGTTCCTGGGGTCCTGGGTTCATACCCCACCAAATCACCAATGGATTTTTTAAAAGTGATATTGCCGTAACTCCTAGGTCTAGTCTGAAGTAATGTGAAAAACAATTCCGGGCTCGTGTCTAGCGCCCTAGGAAAAAAAAAACTTACAATACGGTAAATACATATAAAAGATGGTAAGTGGTGATCGCCTATTGGGCCAGATGATGATTGGAGTGTCCAATCGAAATCGATCACAGCTTACCATCGAATATGTGTATACCATTTTGTGAGTAAACAATGTAAGTGTAAATATCTTACTAATATTATAAATGTGTATTATCATAAGTGTTATTTGACGTATGTTTGTGCTTTCAGGTAATTTAATAACACGTATGTTGCTGATTAAGAAGTTATTTAGTGATTTAAAATGTTTAAGGGTAGAAAAGCTTTTTGAGTATTTGAAGTGCTGACCTCTTTTGAGCGGTTGTGAAATGGCATCTAGAGGATTAAAAATAAGTCAGACAAAATTTAGCCAAAGACATGTTAAAAAGTTGGGCGAATACAGGAATAGTATTTTACTTTTGATCGGTTTTCAATTACATTTCATTTAATAAAATTCTAAAATGATTTGGGTCATGTTTAAATTTCCAAAACATTCTCAAAAAATTAGTGAAAACAGGTAAACAAATAAATCTTGATCGGGGCTCTGGTTTTCTAAGAGTAGGCACTAAGGTAAACTGCTTTCTTGGAAGTCTCTATGGATATACAAACAGACTGATAAAATTTAGATTTGATCAGGCATTCTTAGGAGATTATTAGAACATAAAAAATTCAAAAAATAACCGTTTTTATTTTTTATTTATATAGAGGATCTTAACCACACATAACCCGAATCAAGTAAGTTATACTAGTAAAGCGGTTCAAAACAGTTTTTTAGTAACGTGTTTATAGCCATAAAAAGTAAAGGTATACATTCAAAAATTATGCACCAGTATCTGGAATAGAATAAAATTAACTTGAATTACTCACAAACATTATTATGATCATTTAAATGTCCAGGAGTAAACGTGATCTCGCTCATTGATAACACAATTCTACGCACGTTTTTCTAGTAATCAGGAAAAATGTAATCACATAATTATGCAAATGCAATGTAAATGTGTTCGGGTGTTCAAATTACACGGTATTGTTATTTTCTTGAACCACCAATCGT